GTGTCCCCCCAGGCTGCTGCTGCTGGGGTTTGGCTTTGGGGTCCCCCCGTGGGGCAGCGTGGGGGCGCGTGGCCGCTCCTCCTCGCCCTGCGCAGAAAGTGCGGTTTCTTCGGGAGCTTTCGGTCTTTACTGAACTGACCAGGAGGTGTTTCAGAGTCTGGCAGTTACTCCACAGTGAGTTTTTGAGGAATTTCTCATATGTTCAAAAGCAAAATAAGACTCGCATCATTTCACTTTGGGGTCCCCCCGTGGGGCAGCGTGGGGGCGCGTGGCCGCTCCTCCTCGCCCTGCGCAGAAAGTGCGGTTTCTTCGGGAGCTTTCGGTCTTTACTGAACTGACCAGGAGGTGTTTCAGAGTCTGGCAGTTACTCCACAGTGAGTTTTTGAGGAATTTCTCATATGTTCAAAAGCAAAATAAGACTCGCATCATTTCACTTGTGACTGGAAATAGTTGGTTTTTTTTTAATCCTGAGCGCTGATCTCTAAATTGTAACTGAGGAACGGCGGGTGGCAGATGACGTGAAATAACGTTTCAGGATGCGGCGCTGCTGAGGCAGAAGCAGCACAGCTCGGGAACCTGAGAGCAAGAGCTTTTGTTATGTGAAATCTGTCGCAGCTGATGTCTTTTTTTCCTTCTCTGGTAAATAATTACTTTATTCTAAACTTGTTTGTATTCCTAGGCATTGATGTTAAAAAAGGCAGAGGCCGTTACATTGATACCTGCATGGTGACGTTTGCGCCCCGCTACCTGCTGGACAACAAATCGTCCCACAAGCTCGCCTTCGTGCAGCGGGAGTTTGCCCGAGGCCGGGTAAGGAGCTGCCGGTGCCTGCGGTCCGTCCCAAGCAGGACGCACACGTTACCCGTGGAAGCGTTCTTGGCCCTTGGGGAAGAGGCATCTCACTGCTCTGACACCAGCGTCCCCCAAGCGGGGCGATCGCTGCGCTCGTGTTAAGGGGCGGTGGGTTGACGCTGGGGGTTTTAAGGCTAATATTGTTTAAGGCTCGTATTGACCAGTTTCCGCTCCCAGGGCGCGTCCAACCCCGACGGCTACATCTCCACCCTGCCTGGCTCCAGCGTGGTGTTCCACTGGCCGCGCAATGACTACGACCAGCTGCTGTGCGTGCGGCTCATGGACGTCCCCAACTGCGTCTGGTCGGGCGGCTTCGAGGTCAACAAGAACAGCTCGTTCCACATCAACATGAGGTAGCTCTGCTGCAGAAGCCCCGCGGAGGGGAGCGCGCTGCCGTCGCTCTGGCGGGAGCAGCCGTGTGGCACTCGGAACCGGGCCAGTGGGGTCAGGGGCGCCTCTCACGTGCTCGTTCTTGCTCAGGGACACGCTGGGGAAGTGCTACTTCTTGAGGGTGGAAATCACCCTTCAAGGAGCCACGTACCGCATCGCCTTCAGCGACACAGACCAGCTGCCGCCACCTTTCCGCATCGACAACTTCTCCAAGGTAAATGAGCAAAACTTCACCTTTTCTTTATTTTAATTTTAGTTTAAAAAATCTGAGCTCTTTTGTATTTGTTAGAAGAGGGAGCTGACTAGCTTGTGTAATAAAATAATATGAAAGTGTGTGTAGCGTGAGGTGTTTGTAGATAATGTGGGTTTTTTTAAAGTTTTAGTTAAAATTGGTAGTAGTCAGCTACTTCGTGTTGTTCAAAGAACAGCGCTGACAGCATGGCCTTTGTGAGCGTGGTGAAAGTCTCAGCAGGAGGAGCGTTATTACGGGTGAGAGACCTGTGAGGGGTGGTGTTTGCAATCTTTCCTGGGTTATTTTCGACACTTGAAGAACCTATAAAAGGAATTCAGGCTCCTGCTGCCACTTCCTTTCTCGCTGTCTCTGGGTCTCTGTGTCAGTGATGATGAAAACCTGAGGCCTCACCCCGTGTGTTGTGCAGTGACTTAGGGACTGCCCGTGGTCAGAGCCGGAGCCCGAGCTCTGAGTGGTTCCTGGTTCCTGGTTCCTGCTCTGGGTGTCGGTGCTGACCTGTTAAATAAACCTGAGCGCGTCCCCAAACTTTGAGGGGAAGGAGTTGAACCACAGGTGCCAGGTAGAAGCAAGGAAGACGTTCCCCACCCCAGTCAGACGAGCTTTGAGTCTCGAGTGGGAGAACGTGCCTGTGGCTGGGGGGAAGAAGCGAGCGCCGTGATTCAGTGACCAGTGCCTGGCAAATGGGAAAGGAGAGCACAGCCTGTGGCTGAGCGAGTGTTTCCGAACCAACCGAATCCTCTTCCGTCGCTGTGCGGTCGTTTTCAGCCAGCACGGCGTGGTGGAGCCGCGGCTCCGCACCGAGGTGAAGCCGCTGAGCTCGCTGGACTACGCATGGGACGAGCCCGCGCTGCCGCCCTTCGTGACGCTCACGGTGAAGGGGGCCGGCTCCTCCGAGATCGTCTGCAGCATGAACGACTTCCAGGACAGCAAGCAGCTCTACTACGAAAACTTCATCTACATTGCTGCCACCTACACCTTCTCAGGGTAATTCTGTCTGCACTTGAGGAAAATGGTCGGAGTGTTCGTGGTGTTCTGCAGTCCGTAATGGTTGCTGTTGGAAAGCCCCTTGAATTGGGCTGAGCTTGAGCCGGCCTTGCAGCCAGTCGGAGAAAAGCCGGCTTCCGAGACTGGGTCTGGCCGCGGGCGAGCGGTGCCTCTCCCCTCGGCTGGCCGGGGGACGCGGTGCTGTGGGTGCAGGCAGGTTTTGGGGCCATGACCGGGGCTCGGCTTTGTTTGGTGGGGTCAGAGCCCCTGACTGCAGGACTCCCCAGTTGATGACCTGCCTGTGAGTTTTCAGCCAGCGCCGGTTCATGCAGCACCGAAAAGAGCTCGGGGAGGCTGCTCTGTGCTGCGCTGCTCTCCTCAGGACGAAGCAAAGGTTGTCTCTGGAGTTCAGCTGATGTGCCTGTCAAATTCCCAGCCCAGTGAGAAATCAAAGCCCCCTTGAGGCACGTGCTCAGATCAGCAGCTCACTTCACTAATTCCAAAAAAGCCAAGAGGGGAAAAAAATGTATAATTTTGTTCTTTGATTGGCTGCATTGGCAGCGTTAGTGTCCCTGCTTAGATTCGGTACTGATCTAACACAGTCCACAGAGGAAGCGGCTGGGCTGATGAATAAACACGCTGGTGTTTTCTTGATGTCTCAGTTCACAGGAGCCAAGTGCCAGACCAGTGGCTTCCAGTAAGGATGCTGCATGTGCAGAGCTTGTCCTCGATGTTTCTCCAAAGACTCAGCGAGTTGTGCTGAAAAAGAAGGTACCGAGACATTTGCTTTTATTAAAATGCAGTTGCCGGGTGCTGAAGTACGATCGTGAGCTGGGAGAAGGAAAAGCCAAAAACGTTTGTGTGGTGACCCCCTTGGAAGGGGGAGGTGATTGCAGTTCAAGGTGCGGGAGTTCTGCTGGTGTTTCCGTGCGGGGCTGTTTCGGAGGAGAGGCTGACGGGGGGAACTGGGGTGAGAGCCGTGAGGAGCACAGCAAACGCCTCTGGCAGGCAGCCGTGCTGACTGAGCGTTGGAGGTTCTCACGAGGTTACACGGCAGAGCCTGCTTCCTTTGCGGTTGCCTTGTAAGCAAAGTCTCTCTCTGGAGCTTTAAAGAAGTAGAACCTGTGTTTAAATACCGCGGAGGTTAAGAGCATCTCGCAAGCACAGCTCTGCATCCAGCAGTGCCGGGGCAGGATGCGTGTTCATGGAGTAGGGGAGCTGAATCAGGTGGTTTTGTACGGGCTGGTTCCCACTTCACGTTCAGGGCTCTGAAGTTAAATACGTACAAGTCATTCAAGAATAATTCAAAGCATCTCATAGCAAAACAGAATAGGAATATTTGCCCTGTGCTGATTTCCATGTCAAACTTGCATGAAACAGGAGCCAGGGAAACGATCCCAGCTGTGGAGAATGACGGGCACGGGGATGCTTTGCCACGAAGGCTCCTCGGTTCCCCATAACCCCCACAAACCTTCTCCTCGCTCCGTGGACTCGTCTCTGATTTTGGATATCGCCGGTCTGGCGGCTGTCACGGATAACAGGTATCGCCGGTGCGATTGCTTGGGACACGCGGGTTCTGACCGCGTCTTTGGCGCGGTGTTCTCGGCACGGGGAGAGAAACGGTGCTCGAGAGCCGGGTTTTCTCTCGCTTCATGAACAGACCTCACGATCGCTGTCGTGACTTGGGAATGGTTTTCCAAAGGCTGGGGGGGGTGTTTCAGCATCAGCCTGTTCAAAGAGCACTTCGAGAGTGGGGTTGGGAGAATCAGCGTGAGCGGGATCAGGCTGGGTGTTCACCGAGGGTGTGTCAGAGGAGCCCAACCGAGGCGTTGGACCCCCTGAGCAGTGGACGGGTGCTCTTGCTGCAGGTTCGAGCCCCTGATGCTGAGGAAGCCCGACCGACGGCGCAGCACGACCCAGACATGGAGTTTCTGTGGAGGGAAGTTAACCTGCGGTATCCATGGCCTGGTTGTCCAGGTCAGCACTGATTTCGTGTTGGGCTGGTTCTGCTGGTGGCTGCTGGGGGTGATGGGGTCACTCGGTCTGGGCGCTGCGGTGACCCAGGAGCTCCGAGGCCAAAGCTCCGAGCATGGAGGGAACTGGCCTTGTGCAAACAGCTCGCGTGGCCGAAATGTGTGACCGCTCTTGGCAATTCCAGAGGGTTACGTACCTTGCACTATTAGTTTGAAAACCCATAATGGGGAGATGAGCAGGATGTCGTTTGAGGGTTCTGGGATCCAGTTCCTGCAGCTCCGCGAGCTGCTGCTTGTCGGGGCGAGGGGCTGGGCAGCCTCGTGCTGCTGCTGGAGGGGGTTGGCTCAGAGAGGATTTCGGGTCTGTCTGCAGAGCCAGAGCTCGTCCCTGGCACAGCTCGCTGTCACTTTGAACACGTGTTCGGGAGGGACCTCTCCTGTTTGATCACGATGTGATGGCTCCAGTTTCTGAGCGGGCAGTGGGGGTAGTTACTGGTTTGGGCTGTTCTGACGGCCAAGCTGCTTGGACACGAGTCACCAGAAGCTTTAGCAATGCCGAGGGAAGCGCTGCTGGGCTGCCCCTGGCTTAGCTCTGAAGAGAAAGTCACATCCTCAGTGGCCCTCACGCCCGACTGCTCCGTCTGGGATGGAGTCTCAGGCGACTTACTTCCCCAGCTGTGTAAGGAGAAGAAAGGAAAATGCACCTTTTAACCAATGTCTGTAAATTATTTGGAGTTTTACCAGTGATTATTCTTTTCCTGACCCCTCTTCGTTTCTCCAGGCAAAGGGAGGACTCCGAGGTCTGCACGATGGAGCCGAAGTTGTTCTTGGTCCCGACACCTCGCTGGAGCTCCTGGGGCCGGTGCCGCCCGAGCAGCAGTTCATCAACCAGAAGATGAGGCCAGGCTCGGGGGTGCTGGCTGTCAAGGTGGTCCCGGACGGGCCCACGCGGGTGCTGCAGGTGACCGACCTCCCCTCGCTGGAGCCTCCCTTCAGTGTTTGCTTGTGCTTGAACCACCTGTTCCTGTACAGCAGCTCTAGATTCTTACCAAAGTTACCTTCGTAAGGGGGAGAAGGAGCAGGGGAATATCAAAAACCAGAAATAGCTACAAGAGTCTTCATCGTGTTTCTTTCTTTTTTGAATAATTTTGTGATGTAGGCGACACAGCCGGTATTTCTGACCGGGCAGGTGGTGATCGTGCTGCTCTGTTTGTTTCTCAGATCACGGATTTTAACCAGCGCAGGAACGATCGTATGGCCGGCGAAGGAGATGAGCTTCCAGTTACGGAGCAAGATCTGCGCAAATTGAAAAATCCAGACACAGAGCAGGAGTTGGAAGTAAGATATTAGAACTAGTTCCTGTCTCTTTTATTTGTCATTTTCATTTCTAGATTTTGGAAGGGGATTGGGGTGTTGGTCGTTAGCTTTTGCCCACGATGACCTCTTGTTATGAACTTGCAGATTTTTCCTGTTAAAACTCCTCATTCTTAGAACCCTGGTTTCTCTGTCTTACCCCTTCTCTATTCGAAGACCGATCGTGGATGAGAGACGTTCCTTCTCTCTGGAGATAAGGCCAACAAAGTCACTTCTTTGCAGACATTTGGGTTCAGGGTCACAGGCTTTTTCAGTGCCGGTTTTCTGGTAGGGTGGTTTTCTTCCCCCCCCTCTTCAAAAACTCTTTTCTCAGGTGCTCGTGAAGCTGGAAGGTGGAATCGGATTGTCTTTGGTCAACAAAGTTCCCGAGGAGCTGGTGTTTGCAAGCCTGACCAGAATTAACGTGCACTACACGCAGCTGTGCAGCAGCCAGGTGCTGGAGCTCAGCGTGCAGGACGTGCAGGTACCGGCCGCTGGGAAACTCTTCTTTTTGTTCCTGGGTCTGCTGTGGCTTTTGTCATTTTGAAAAATCCTTTGGGCTGTCACCGAGATTTCCGTTTCCAACACCGCACAGGTTTTGATTGATGTTGATGTTCCCTTTTTTCATTGTGCCCTGCGCAGTAACGGGTGAGACAGCGACAGGTTGTGTCTCGCGCCGATGAGGACTGTTGAGCAAAGCAGAATCTGTTTTATTTTGTGAGCAGGTCAGGGGAGATTTTTCCTCCTTCCTGGTTCTGTGTCATCATGTAGCAAAAGAGCACCCGTTGGAAGGGGAGTCCTCGTGCTGCCGTGTAAATCGTTGAATCACAGACAAATAAGACAAACATAAACCATAAACATAAACCATACGTTTTTTTCCAAGGAGATTTTGGGGTTGACTTCCAAAGTTCTGCCTTAGCCTTTGTTTTTGGTTCAGTCTTTGAAATTCAGAATTCACGAGTTAAACTGATGGCTGTAAAACTGGTTTAGATTCTACTCAAAACCTCCTCTGAATGATTTGAATTCTCTTCCCGACCCATAAGGTCTCCTCAGCAGGGGAGCTGTGGGCGCCGGGGCGGGTGACATGGGGTCGATGGGTACCCGGGTGCCTCGGTCAGACGGCAGTGCCGGAGCAACTTCTCCCTCTGTTCAATGTTTCTGGCTGCGCTTTCTGAAAAAAAAAAGAAAAAAACCCACAGGGAATGTAGGAGTTTTGTGCTGGGTTTGTTTGTTGGTGGCTGTCACCTTTTTTCTTGGTGGAGGAACCTGGGAACGTTCCTGTGGTGAGATCTTGGTGACCGACAGCCAAGCGCACTCGGTGTCTCCCCGCTCGGGGGCCGAGGATCTCTGGCAGCGTTTTGGAGCCCGGTGCCAGCAGATCAGGGTCGCTGGTCACTGTCAGTTGTCACCTCTGCAGGGTCTGTGTCTGCCCGCAGGTGGACAACCAGCTCATTGGCACCACGCGGCCCTTTATGCTCTTCCTGACGCCCAAGATGAGTGAGAACGAGCCCCTGGAGACCGGTCCTGCCGTGCAAGTGAACGCAATGAAATTCCCCAGCAAAAGCACGCTGACGGAGATCTACAAGGTAAGCCCTGACCTCCTCCCTGGGCCGTGCCGGTGTGGGACCTTTCCTCCTCCTGATTGTTACGAGTAATCTGAAGTCGGTTTTTTGTGAAATATGCTTTTTCAATAATTGGGGTTCATACCGAGGTTCTGGCCACCCTCTCGTGTTCCTCCCGTGTAAAGCCACGTACAGTGATGAACAGGGGAATAAGTGTGTTAAAAATCCAGCAAATGAGAGCAGAGCCCTGAGGTTCTGGCCACCTTCTCGTGTTCCTCCCCTGTAAAGCCACGTACAGTGATGAACAAGGGAATAAACATGTTAAAAATCCAGCAAATGAGAGCAGAGCCCGGTTGGTTCCCGGCTGCGAGCAGTGACGCGGGCAGGCGCCATTGTGGCACGGGGACCCAGCGTGGCTGTGCCAAGCCCGTCCTGAGCTGTGTGCGGGGTTGTTGCTTCTCTCCGATAAGCGGCCCCAGCTCGGTGCGGTGAGCTGCCACCTCTGGAGGTGTTTGCAAAGGTGTCCAGCAGCTGGGCTGTGCCTTGTGTGAGGGCAGAGCCGAGCGAGTTATCAGTGAGTTCTTTTCTCACTTGGGATCTTCTTCCATGTGTTTTGATGCTCTTTTGAGAAACGTTGGATTTTGCTGGTGGAAAACACCTGAGCGTCAGGTCCTGAAGTGTGGGCGTTAGGTGATGATGCACAGTTCCTGCAGAAAATGGAAACAATAATCATGAGTTATCTGGAACTTTAAGTGAAGAAAACTGCCAGGGACGTCGCAAACCCCAAACCCACCCAGGGACTGGGTGAAGTGGAGCACGTTGTCACGTTCAGGGGCTCACTGGATTCTATTTCCAGTGTCAGTACTGCTGACTGAGACTTGCTTGTCCCCACAGCACCTGATGATCACTGCTCGCAGGTTCACCGTTCAAATCGAGGAGAAGCTGCTTCTGAAGCTGTTGAGTTTCTTTGGCTACGACCAGGCTGAGTCAGGTACGGTACAAACGTCTGCAGCGCACGGAGCTGTCGGGACCTTTGCACATCGGGTCAGAACGCCCAGCAAGCTCGTGGCTGTTGCACAGAGCTGGGAAACTCCTGGCCCAGTGGCCCCAGGCGCTGCTCCTGCGTCTCTGCTGGGACAGAGTCCAGGGACGACCCCGACACGCGGGGCTCTGCCGGGCGCAGGGGCTGAGCTGAGCCTCCACGGGCAGGAGGTCAGTGTTGCTTCTCAGTCCCTGGATCTGGATTCCTCTAAACTGGGGTAAAAGGGGTCGTGTTACTAATCTAGTGAACTGCTTTGGCTCCTGATGTTTGTTTATCCACACCCCGGGCTAGAACGGGCTCTGTCCATTTGTGCTGAGCCGGCGGGAGCTGGGGCTGGCCGAGCTCTGGGCGGCAGCGTCCCTGCCCCGGCTGTCGCTGTCGTGCCACTTGTCTTCCATTCAGAGAGGCACGATGGAGCACCTGAGTCTTCTCATCTCTTAGACATCGGTCTAATCCTTCACAGGGTTTATCCGATGCCTGGTTTGCAGCAGCAATCGGAAAAGTCACGGTAGTTGTGCAGGGGGATCTGTAGGGTCCTGCAGTAAAATACCTGCTGCAGGAAAAAGCTGGTTTGGGCACAGTTCCAAAGGGCGACAAGGCTACACGTGATGCTTGAGAATTCCGTTGCCCATCCACAGTGGCTTCTGAATTGTCTCGGAAAAAATGATGCAGTTTCGCAGAGCACTTCCTGACGTAGGTTTGTAGTGATGGGGAATGAGCATTCCGAGTTTCGCTCGGAGGCTGTTCACTGACCTGCCCTTTGGTTTGCTTTTGCTGCTTCACTTCCCCTACTCTCTTCACAGTTTGATGCTGACACCGTCCAAGGTTCAGACAAAAATTATTTTGTCATTTACATTCAACATATTTAATTGTTCATAAGACTTTGTCATTCTTCATTTTTCTCTGCCTTCTCGCACCAAAGTTCTCTTAGAAATAATGGACGGGCCTGTTAGTGTTGACCGGATTTGGCTTCCTCTGTGCATAAAGTGATTTACTGAATACATCACACCTAAACCAATTCACTGAATGTCGTCCCTGGGCACCTCTCGTCCGTTCCGTGGGATAACCGCAGAGGTTATCGGCCTCGCTGGCTCTGTACCTGGTGCTGCAGGCTGGGGCTGTGAGCAAGTGCAGGGAAAGCCGGGAGGAAAATGTTGTGAGGGCAGGAACACAGGGCAGGAAGCGTCACAGGGTTGTGTTGGTGTCTCCTCATTTCGATGCTGACAAAGAGAAATGAGAAGTGGGAGTAAAAGCTCGAATAACTTCAGCCGTGCACTTGGGGTGACTCTTTTTATCTGGCTACAGATACATTCGGGTTTCCAGGATGCAGGCAGATGGGGAAAAAAATAATTCTTGTGGCTCAGAGGTCAACTTCGTGTCGCAAGGCATGAGTCACTTTTGTGGCCATGCTGGCAGTCACACGTAATTTTTATTTGTGCAGAGAAGCTGTTAACTCTTCACAGAGTGTGCGTAACCCCGTGCCTACTGATGTGTGGTCTGTTCTGATTCCTGTGTTTTGTCTGGATGCAGAGGTGGAAAAGTATGATGAAAACCTCCATGAAAAGGTGGTGGAACAAGGTGGAGCACAAAAGCGATACTACTTTGAAAATCTGAAAATCAGCGTGCCTCAGATAAAGCTGAGTGTCTTCACCTCCAACAAGTTGCCCCTGGATCTCAAGGTATGCTGAGCCTGCTGCCAGGGGACGAGCTTCTGGCCCAGGAGGGGAAGGGAGCAGCAGCTTTGACTCACCAGCACTCATCTGCCTTTGCTCTTCCTTTATCTCGGTTGCAGATAATAGAAGTTCTGCGAAACTTCTATCATCTAATTTGCATCATTTCCATTCCTTTCTCTATTATTGTTTCATTGCACTTCCAGTCGAAACACAGCCAACCCCACCCGAAAACCCACTGTTTGCAAAGCATCTCCGGTCGGTGGCTGGGGATGGAGAGAGCCTGAAGGGGATGCCCGGGATGCCCGGGAGGGCTGGTGGGAGGGTGACAAAAAATAAGTGACACAAATTAGGGAGGAGAAATCCAGGACAGCTCGAGTGTTTTCATCCAGAAAAGTCTCGTTTGGATTGGAAGGTTTGCTGAGCACGGCGTGGTTTGGCTCAGTGTTAAAGTGAACTCACCTGTAGGGTAGATTTGGGAGAAAATCTGGTGCTTTTGGTGCAGAAATAAACGTTCTGGCCCAGCCAGTGAAGTGAACCAGGGATGTGGAATTACAGCAGCCAGCTCGTCTCGGCCAGTGCCCTCAACATCCATGCTGGGACCCTCCTGGATGCCGTGAGGTGGCCACAGTGGGCAGGATTTCAGCTCCCGCTGAGCTCTGTTCTCCGCGGTGGGGGAGCTGAGGCAAAACCAGCCAGACCAGGAGCCCCCTCCCCACTGGGGAGGAACTGCGCTGCCACCCCTTCAGCTCAGGGTTCCAAACACAACATCGAGACGTCCAGCCTTGCTCTTGCGGGCGTTAAGACGAGCAGCTTTGTGGAATGAGCGTTATCGTGGATTCCTACCGAGATGAGCCAGACATCGTCAGTCCTGCGTCCTCCCGTCGCTTTCCCAACCCTCGTGCAGGAGGGCAGTGGGATCGCTGCCCCCGCCTTCCCCACCGCTCGGCGGCGGCAGGGCGATGTTCTTGAGTTGGTTTGCCCTTGAGCTGCAGCACAGAAATGCCTGTCACCCGCTTACCTCGCACTGAGGCAGACGTCGCTTGCCCTGTTCTCTGCGATTTTCTCCCAGGTGTCACCCCGCGTGCTCCGGGTGCAACTTCCCCGGAAGGTTCCTGCAGTTCTGCAGCAGCAGAGGGCTCAGGGCGGGAGGGGGGAACCATCCCCGTGCAGCCTTTGGAGCAGCTTTTCCAGCCTCCTGCCGTGTCTCTGGCTGGGGCGTTGCCGGCCGGGGATTTGGTGCACACAGTTTGGGTTTATGAGGGACCAGTATTAGTGGAGTTGCCCTCTGTAACGTCTGACAGTGAAACAGGAAATTACTTCCGACCCCAGTGGATAATGAGGGCTGCTCTAGTTACTCGTCCCTTCGCTGAAAAAATCCATAGGGCCTTTCTTACTGGCAACTTCGTCAGGCCTGTGATTCACCCGAATTGCCTGGAGGTGGCAGAAAAAACCCTGTTGCTCACCACCGAGCGGCTTTGGCGGTTAACGGAGGAAGATACGACCTGGCATCGGGCTTCTTGCCGCTGGATTTTATGGTGTTGGTGACTGGGCAGGTGCCATCGTTAAGATTTGAAAGAGAACGAATCCCTTTCTTTCTTAAAAGATCAGGGTTTTTTTTAAATTTTTTCACAATTATTCTCTTTATCTGCACAAAGAGATGTGTAGGTTCTCCACCTTAAATATTTTCTCCTGCGCATAGACTGTGCACGTTGCAGATGGCCCAAGGGCTAAAAACTGTCTGTTTTCTTCCTTGGAAAGAACCGAAAAGGCTGGTTTGAAGACTTTCAGGGCGGCACGTAATGTTGAGAAAGGAGCCTCAGGCTCGCAGGAAGTTGCGGATGTTATTCCAGCTCATCCCAACACTTCATCCGTTCACAGAACTTCAGCAGGGTGGAAGATGCCCACTTGTGTCTTCACTGGATATCCAGGAAATTTATTTAGGGTTCGGTTTGATTGAACTTAGAGCAGTTCTAGCAAAGTGCTGGGAGTGGGAGCTTAAAAACCAATTTTGTTGTTGAAACGTTCAAGTGTAGGAACCAGGGTTTATAAGGAAGAACATTCAATGCCTACCTAGTTACTAGGGAAATGCAGCTCCAATAATTGATCGTTCCTTAGAAGGAAAAAGCTTGTTGCCTTCTCTATCAAAGCATCTACCTGGCAGCAGCCAGCTGTCCCAGGAACTTGTGGTAATTTTGCTTTGCTGCCCATTTAAAGATTAATTCATCTGGGTGCTGTGAAAGAGGACGGGAGAGAAGAATTAAGGTCGCAATACTTTCTGTTTGATCAGGCACTGAAGAGCACGCTGGGGTTTCCCCTGATCCGCTTTGAAGATGCCGTCATCAACCTGGACCCTTTCACCAGAGTCCACCCGTACGAGACTCAGGAGTTCATCATCAACGACATCCTGAAGCACTTCCAGGAGGTGAGTGTCACACGTTTGGCTGGGGCAGAGACTGAGCTGCCCTGGATTTGCGAGGTCTCTGCTTGGGGTGCAGGAGCTCTTTCTCGCCCGTTGGCTGAGGGGTCGCTGCTGTTTGTGCGTGGAAAACACCCGACGCGTCAGGCACGGCCAGCACGGGTTTAGGAGGGGAAGGTC